CCCTTCTCCTCCCTCACACCTTTCCTCTTCTCCCTTCTCCTCCCTCACACCTTTCCTCTTCTCCCTTCTCCTCCCTCACACCTTCTCCTTCTCCCTTCTCCTCCCTCACACCCTTCCTCAATCGCTGTGCCTCCCTCTTGGCTCTTCCCTCACCTCGTTCCTCCTCCTGATCAGTCAGCACTTTGGTATGGCAGACTTACGACACGCTCTGTCGTGGATTAATGTAAATCCGGCTAGGTTCACACATGTCCTTGAGGGAAGGAAATCTGTCTTCCTTACCCGGTCTGGGCCTACATGTGACTCCAGTCCCACAGCAACGTGGCTGGCTCTTAACTACCCCCAAAGCAGCGGAGTAAGACAGCTCAGTTCAAGGGCGTTTGAGAATGGATTTTAAAGACTGGCCTTGCTCAAATCCAGGAAAAGATCAATAAAAATGATTACGAAAGAGGAATGGGAGGATTGGATACAACCAAACCCTCTAGCTCCCTGCTCCCATACCTCACTCATAAAGCAGCTAATTATTAATTACCCTGTCACAGGACGTGGGTATCGCTGGCTGGGCCCAGCATTTATTACCCGTCCCTAGTTGCCCCTTGAGAAGGTGGTGGTGAGTTGCCTTCTTGAACCCACTGCTGTCTATTTCGGAGTAAGGTCAGAATCTGGGCTGTTACAACAGGAATTTCAGAACTCAGACCCAGTAACTGAACATCTTGTAGATGGTACACGCTGCTGCGACTGAGCGTCGGTGGGGGAGGGAGTGGGATGTTTGTGGATGTGGTGCCAATCAAGGGGGGGCTGCTTTGTCCTGGATGGTGTCGAGCTTCTTGAGTGTTGTTGGAGCTGCCCCCATCCAGGGGCAAGTGGGGAGTATTCCATCCCACTCCTGACTTGTGCCTCGGAGATGGTGAGACAGGCTTTGGGGAGTCAGGAGGTGGTTACTCGCCGCAGGATTCCCAGATGTTGAGCTTAAAAGGCAGAAAATATGGAGAACATTTTAATCAAACAACATCTTGGTA